GTGTCTTTTTGCGTTGGAGAAGAGCAAACAGCGAGTTTCAATCACACTTTGGCCGCTCTCGCAAGCTCTCACTCATTTCACTGTGGTCAAGCGACTTTGGGGCAAGCGGTTAATGAAAATACTTATCGTTAGCTTTCTCCTGGTATCAAACTTGTTTTGATTGATTGTATAATTTTGTCGGAATAAAGGAAACAAAAAGGCTCGACCATTAACTTATCAGCGTCTGAATTGACCTTTTGACCTTGAATTCCCTGATGCAAGCGCACTAATGACGTCATCTTCGCTAAATCGGTGTCTTTTTATCGTAAAATGCGACACTTTCACAATGTTTATACATCTTTTTTAATTATTAGTAAGATATAACATATTTTTTCTGATATCACTGAAGTTTTGGGTTTTATTTAATGAGTAATTTTAAAATAAGATCCATTTTACTGTTTTAATTTACTGGCTCGTACCATAAAAGTCGCAGGGTAGAAAGATGCATTTTCCAACCGCGCCAAATTTAATTTACGTTCCGACATTCTGTTAAATGGGTTCGTGTTGTTAATAATCCAATGCTTTCTGCTCCACCAAACGTCCACATGCGGAGTCGTTTATCAACTAAATTATTCAAATTTATGGATGCTTCCTAGCTTCCAAGGTGTTTCTGTTGTTGAAGCATTTCATTCACCTGCTATCATTCTTACTCCAATTGCCAGAACGCAAATTTTATTTTAGTTTTATAGTTTCATCGGAGTCGTTTATCAACTATATGTATTCAAATTTATGAATGCTTCCTCCCCAGGTGTTTGTGGTGTTTATGCATTTCATTCACCTGTTATTATTATTTGTACTCCTATTGTTAGAATACAAAATGCATTTTAGTTTTATAGTTTCATGTAGTGAGTAAGTCAATAAAAGAGTATGTTCTGCAACGTGTGTCCCTATTGTACAATTTAATGTGTCCCCTCATTTTGTAATAGTTAATTTACCCATTCACATAATGGAACTACCTGCCCGATGAAGCCAGTGGCCTGTGACCCCTGAGCACTCAACACCGTGTGGGAGTCAGTTTGTGGTGAACTTCTTTTATGAGACACATACAAGCAAACGTTTCCATATGATGAATATTTGCTGCTGTTTTTCTTATTATATGTATTTCCGTACATGCTGATGAGTTTATTTTACTTTTTTCAAAAGCATATCTTGACCTATATTATCAGGCTGGATTCAAACCCATTCTATCCTTTGCCCAACGCCTATGGAATAAACCCTGGATTATATTCGGCACTGCTTCAAAAACCTTCTGAAATCATACCTCTAGAATTTATCTTTTTATTTTATTGATTGACTAAGGAATAGCGCTTTGAATCCCCTGAAAAATGTGCTATATAAATTCCCGTACTAACATCATTGTATTTTTCATTTTACCTATTATTATTATTATTATTATTATTATTATTATTATTATTATTATTATTATTATTATTACTATTATTATTATTATATATATATATATATATATTACAAATATTTGTGTCGTATTACATCATCAGTTTAAAAAAAATTAAATCGCAGTGGCGTGAACGGAATAAAAATGGAGAAGTGTTTCGAAAAAACTCACTCAGTCGTCAAGCTTCTCCTCATTCTTTGGATGACATCCCTCATCCACAATGCAGTTGGGGGTAAGTAACATTGGAAACAAGTATTCCGGTTAAGAATATATCTGTTTATCAATGTTTATAGGCCCAAATTTTGGGGTAAATTAAGATGTTTATTTTACTGTCTACTAAGAATTCCAAGAACACATACATTAAACGTGTACTATTAAATAATTCTGTATTGGAATAAAACAGGCGCAGTTTACAGCCTTTTTACGAAAAGGGGCTTATATGTTTCAACAGCCGAATATGTTCTTTTGATTTTGTGTTCATTATCCTGTAATTGGTCGTGTAGGTCTTGGGGATAGTCACAAGGTTTGCACTGAATATACTCGTAGACTTAGATCGACAATTGGTACTTGAATATTATATTAATTTACAGTACGTTAGTTTCAGTTCCGAGCACGTGAGAGTAGGCCTATGAATCAACATCAATCAATATTAATATAATATCGTTACTTTTGTAAAAGAATCTTGTTTGTTTGAAATAAAAGAAACAAATCCCCAAATGTAATATGAAAAAAGTGAGTGAAGTATTATGATAACAAGTGAGTAAATAATGACCTTCATCGTTCATTTTATGGTTTTAGATTTCTTTCTTTGTTCGGGATCGAACATGAACGTGTCAATGACGAAGGTTTGCGATAGATATTACGACTGTGACAACTATGAGGATGAATCGTCGTGTATAAGTATTGGAATATCTCCTTAGTTTTAATACTGACATTATTTTTGACTACATCACATTGTTCTGACGCATAATAGGCTCCGCTGCCTATTATCAAATACATAATATAGAATACACCTTTAATAGGCAAATTTTGAAGAAATCCCAATTAGCACACCTCGTAGTTAGTACCACAAGGGGTCTGTTTTATAGATCTTGTTATTAGTAACTAACTTAGAAATTTTATGAAAAATTTGCTCTCAGCCAATCAAATGCAACAATATTAGTAGCCTTTAAAAGTTATAGTAACTTGTTTTTGATGAAAGGTTTTATGAAACAGGTCCAAGATACACGAACAAAGAATTTGTCGGAATGCGGATGCGGAAAAGAAGGCCATATTTCCCGCATTCTCTAACATTCTTCTCCATTGTTTTATGAAATTGTGAATTCATTAGTGTCTTGAATTTTAACGGTGAAACTTCTTCATCCTTTTGAAAAAAGACTTGTATTGTCTGTCTCGTAGAGTTTTGTTGGATATTTTAGTGACCTAATGTATTTGACTTGTGTGCTCCCGGCCTACTAGGGTTTCTAATTTTGTTCCATCGACTTTTCACAACTTGATGGAAGCCAAAGACTGGTCCTGAATAGTCATCCGTTACACTCATACGATTTTAACGCTCAAAGTACCATCAAATTCATTGATAGAAAGTGTTGCAGGCTAACTGTAGCTGTCGGGTTAATCCCCCAACCGACTGAAGAGATCCCGTGAAGTCGGGTTCAAGCACCAAATTTTGTCAATATGAAGTAGTATGTCTGCATATTAGGACAGGCTGGTCTTTATATTTTGAAATGAAAAGAGATTTTTCTTATACAAATTGTGTCCATGTGATTTAAAAGAAAAAAATTAAGGGGCATTTGATATCAACAGATGGACAAATTTTGTCGCTTTTTCGTGTTTGTAATGTCCAGTCATAATTTCTCCTTGCGAAATTTCGTGCATGTGGTAGATGGGTTGAAAGAGACCCGACTTTGAGCTCTGTTTCGGAAACTCTGATAGATACGGTCAGGTCGACAATTTTTTTGTGGGGAATGATCTTTCTTCTTGGTAAATTAAGGGGGTCAAATCGTATGGATAATAATATTGAGGGTTTTTTCGGGGGAGGCTCGCAGACTAGCTGTCAGTGTAAGATAATGAAGCTTTATCTACCAATCTCTCGTTGAAGTACTGATAAAAAATCATCTACCGGTGAATTTTTGTTTTTACTCATTTCTTTCTATCTTGTCTTTTTCAGCAACTTTCCAGGAAGGCGGATCATTCTTCCTCTCCTCAGACACCTCCTACGGCCGAATACGATTTTATACATTACACTTGTTTCGAACGTTAGCTACGAAAGGATTTCTAATTGTGTTCCAAGATTTGTATCTCTCTGATGGCGTTCAATTCCAAATAGGGTCAGGGCATAATCCGTCTGACACACAGTCTGTCATCACAACTATTCATGGATACATAAACTACCGTCCTGATGATGTCTATGTTTATACCAGTGAGATGTGGTTTGCTGGCATAGGACCAAATGGTCACCATGTTAATCGTCCTGGTAGTTTTTATCGTATTCGTAAGGCCATTGCGATAACTTCCTTTGACTTATCAAGTAAGTGTGTAATAATTATCGACGTGTCTTATTTTAATATAAAATAGCTTATGTTGGATATCATTGCATCGCTCAATGTACTTCTTACTCTAGTCACACCAAGACTTACTCCGGACCGACTTGGGACCGAGCAAATAATTACGTCATGATTATCTTTATCCGCCAATGAAATCGGTGATATGGAGTCGGTTCGGAGTCTGTTTGAAAAAAATAACAAATCATTATTTACAACGTCAGAGTTCATACAACAAGCAATAAAAAGGGATAATACGAGAAGCAGTTTTATCGTTGGGATACGAAAGGTCTGGGTTTCAACCCCCGGACAGGAACCTATATGGTGGGTCGTTGGTATTTCTGTGTGTGTGTGTGTGTGTGTGTGTTGGGGGAAGGGGAATTAATCTACATTTTTAGTGTTATTTTTTCTTCTTGACTTGATTTGTGATAGGAGAACGAATGTTTTAACTTCAATTTAGAATTGCCACGTTCCAACACAATTAATTGTGAAATTTTAAATCACTATTTGCTACCAAAATTATACTTTTTCTTTATAATTTACTTTCTCTGTTTAGCCTTCTTAACATGTTCGAGCCCCCAAAATATCAAGCCATCGACTCTCCTTTGCGATGGGCTTTACCACTGCGATCATTATGAGGATGAATTAGCATGTGGTAAGTCAAAAATAATTTGATATTATCTTTCCTATGTGGTAAACATATGTTTCCTTTTATTCAAATTTCTCAACGCTTTCACGATTACCTAAAAGAAATTGATGTCTTTTCCCATAATGTTAAACATTGTCACATGAAAACCTGTAATCTAAAAATCTGTATTGTGCATTTCTTTAAGTCAGGTATATTATGTAAACAATGGAAAAAAGAACTTGAGCTGTTACTAATCTGAACCAACAGTTGATCTGCCTGGAAAGGTGACATCACTTTTTCTAGTGGGAGTTTCGTTTTCATTTCTTTGCTTACGTTTTTTTTCTTTTGTCTTCAATTCTTTCTTGTCATTTAAAAAATGATTTCTTATAGATAATTCAGCGACGTATCTGCAGAAAAGCAAATCACATGTCATCTACATACCGTTCTCTAACACAAGCCGATTGTACAATACTATCTTCCTACAAACAAATGCTACGTATGGATTTCGAATCGTGTTCAAATATTTGAATCTCTATTATGATGATGAAGTCCAAATAGGAACAGGTAACGATCCATCTGACATACAGTCTGTCATCACAACTATCCATGGATCTACACACTACGCTCCTGATGATGTCTATGTAGGTTCCAATGAGATGTGGTTTGCTGTCATAGGAGCGAAGTTTACCAGCAGGCTTGAAATGGATGTTGAGATCATTTCCATTGACCTGTCAAGACGTGAGTTTGTGATTATTCTCGATTTGTCTTATTTTAAATACTCAGCTTTACAAATATGTGTCATTTATTGTTTATAATTGTGACTAAGTATTGATAAAACATCGATAATTCTCGGTTTCGTTTTTCGATTTTGATTGAATGTAGTTTTGAAGCACGTTTATAGTCTTTATAATATTGATCGAATAAAAACAGCTTCTGTATTTTAGAATTAATTTATTATAGTTTTCAATAGAAATGTAAGATCATCATCAGATCTCAAACTGTCTCATTTCATCAGAAACGAAAATGGTACTACGTAAAGTGCTTGCTCTTTATTTATTTTGTTTTCTTATATTCATGGATCCCAGTGATCTGTAAAAATACGACATGGATGTCATCGCGTTTTGGACTAATCAATTTCCTAGAGGATGAGAAAGGAGCGTTGGCGAACTCAACTGAAGTATGTCCATTCAACACAGCAAACGGTAAATTAGGATACTTTTCATGCACGTTTTACCTGAATCTATCTCTCCCTTTAGGAAATTGAAATGTAATCGGTTATTCTGAGTCTAATTGATCTAAATTAACAAATGGGCCACTCTAGAAGACGTATTCTCCAAAATTGCCCAGAAGGAACTTGCATTGATATTTTAATGAACATTAGAGAAATTAAGTTTTTACAGTTACATATTTGTATTTTTTAATTATACGCATTTGTCATGATAACTCATATTATTTTATCAAAACACTTCGCATAAAAAATTATCAAATCTTTATTTCATGAATATCAATAATGGTATAGGGATAGTAAATTGTTGTGAATTTGTTTGACAGCTGACCAACCAATCGGGCGTGCCATATGCGTCGGTGATCTGATTTCACAGAGTACGTGGCTTCCTGATCCCACGGATAACTGTGGACCATTCAGAAATGTCGGAGATTTACTTACCCAGCTTTCAAAGGTAATTTCAATATTTAGATATATTTATTTCATCCATTTCAAGATTTGTTTTCTTTAATTGTCACACCACAGTCATGCGACCACTCAGTATGAGTTATTCGGGACTGAAAGCCATCAATTTCCATCAAGCCTATTTCAACGTAAATTTGAAATTTATTAGTTATTGGACACATCCTAGAAATGAAATAATATTTATAACATCCCAATGAATGAAATAGAAAGGAACATTAACATCCCAATGAATGACATAGAAATGAACATTTTTGGATCCATTGTTATGCTCAGAAGTAAAAACAGGTGGGCTAATACCCTCTCTGACTGGAGAGAGAATGTACGTAGGCTGTCTTGTGAGCAATTAAAGGCAAACACAATTTGACTGACATTTAAATCGTTTGTTCCAAGGTTATCGTTTCAGATGAGAATGTTGCTAAGCTCAGTGAAGATGTCAGTTTGGTGTCAAGTAATATCAATGATATCTCCTCTGATGACATTTTTTCGATTGCAAATATAATTTCAAATATAAGTGCTCGAACGAACTACAGTGAACAGGTATGTATATATCTTGTTTTTTTAAATTCAATTTGTTGTGAAACGTGTCCAGTAAATGCAAACATATACAGTTTTTACGACCCAGTTGTTTATCTTTTCACTGATCAATTCTGCTATATTACTAAAATTAAGACTATTTGTAGGCCATTCTGGCACTGTGAACATTTTAATTTGCCATTTTGTTTAAGATCTTGTCAAATCCGACTGTCCACATTTTATCCCCAATTACACCTGTGCTCAAAGTTCTTTTTTCATACTAATAATGCAACTGCTTTCAGAATAAGTAATTGAATGTATTTACTCGATTTTGAATAACAGGTTACTGAATCCATTGTTGCCATAGTGAATAACATCGCTCAGGTTGACACAGAAACACTTGAATCAGCATCAGCCTCTGTTAGTGATGTCATTAACGTCTTTGAGCAGCAGATCAAAAGTGTACCTGTAGAGGACGGTGACAATTTTAGCATTCAACAACCCAATATTGCCGTGCAGGTACGTAGAAGTTTTGATATTTTATTACATCAGATTGTTTTCCCCGTGGCCGTGCAGCAAAGACCAACATGTATGTAAGTAACTGTGAACATAGTTGACATCCCGGGTTGACATCTACTACCGCTTCTCAAAATAAGATATCTGTCAATGACACGTGCAAAGATGAACTTCATTTGCCGATTAGAATACCATGTCTCTTCATGACCTAAGAAACGTTCTTATTTGACTATTTTTCTAATTCTGTTTTTCTAAACTTTTTAGGTCCAAAGCGTGCATACCGATGACATCTCGAACGGTCTAGTCCTCTCGTTAGCAAGAGACAGCAATCCTAATGTGACGAAATTCGACATCAACATCGAAACTTCAAATGAAAATCTTGATGAAGCTACAACACCAGACACCATTGCTGCTGCCATCCTACCATCTGCTATTTCTTCCGCTATACCGTCGATATCTGAAGAAAGTTCTGAGACAAGCGGCTTTGTTCGCGTGACTTTCAATGTCTTTTCCACACCAGCCCTTTTCATTTCTAACTCATTGCAAACAACGAGTCTAGGAACCAACCGATCTGCTAACACACCCGTAATATCACTGAGCATCGGGGACGAGAAAATAGAAAATCTGACAGAACCCATCAAGTTCACTTTTACCCCGATAGAGGTAGGCCCTAAAGAAATTTTATTTTCAAAGTATAAAATGCACAGATATAAATGAATGTGCATTACTGTGCATTCTGTCATCTTCAAGTAATTATTTATGCTTGCCATACACTCCATTGCTACCATGTTGCAGTGCTCTTCTTTTCCTCTCTTTTTTTTTCTTTCTCCAAGCTCTCTATCCTCCTCTCCTCTTTGCCTATCCCTTTCTTCCTTTCTTCCTTTCTTCCATTTATAATGAATAATTGTATTTGTGTATTCGGGCGTACCCATTACAAGCTCCGCTTATCGGGTTTCGCGCCTCCTTCCTTGTAATACAAGTTCTTTAATTATATTCATGTTCCTACGCATAAATTGTATTGTTTGAACAGATGTCAAATATGTTATCAAACTGAATCGAAGAAAATAAATGTTCATTTGAATTGAATTGAATTGAATTATGTTAATGGCATATAAGTTAAACAACTATGAAAACAATAATAGTCATACCACTTTAGTCTAAATTTGAATTTCCTCACAAGCCTGGTCTGACGAACCCGTTGTGTTCATACTGGGATATTGGCTATGGTGACTGGTCTCAAGAAGGGTGTCAGCTTCTTTCATCATCTGGAATTAGATCACCCAAAGATAGCAGCTGGGTTCCTCCTCCTGATGAGAGGATCGTTTGTGGATGTAACCATCTTACCCACTTTGCTGTCCTCATGGTAAGATCTTTTAATTTTTTTTTAAATAGTAGTATGTCTTTTATTTTGCCTTGGAATCACATGGGATTGCAAGATTTCCACCTATATGTTTTTTTTTGGTAGTTGATGTAGTAAACACGATTGTTACCCCCCCCCCAATTGGAAATACTTCGATCTCTATCGTTGGAAGCCGCTATTATATTTCTTTGCGGGAAGAGACTTCCCCATTTAACCAAAGACCCCCGGATTTGTGGGAAACCCGCCACTGTGTTTATATACCAAGCTCCTGTTAATTCACAATGTAATCTAACTCTGTTCTGTAATGTTCTACAGTTCTTCTTTAATTTTAAAGATAATGTATAATGTACGAGGGAATGAAACGACCAATGGAAGTGATTTCATTTGTGGATAGTTAGAACTATTTTCTGTCTCGTTCCTTGTATTTTTTCAATCTTGTCTTCTTTTTTGTTCTTTTCCCTTTCTTGTTTTCATTTTAGGAGTGGAACTTTTTTTCTGGTTGAAGAACCCAATTACTTTGCGTACACATGATTTTATTATAATGTGTGTCTATCCACGGCGACAAATTAATGAGAGCAATCCTAAATAACTTAGAGCTCACACATACATGTTAGGTTTTCATATAGATCTATGTTATGATTGAGCCTAGATCTGAGCTGGATAATATTTTTTGTAATGAATTTATTCTATTTGTAGGATATGTCCATCGAGGAGCGGTCTTTTGAGCAAGCACACACAGTTCTAACGTACATAGGATGTGGTATTTTGATAGTAAGCCTACTTGTCACCCTCGCAATATATATATCAAACAGGTAAGAGTCGAGGTTATCACCATTTTTATAGTTATCCATCTCATAAATATCTATTAGATTATAGCAAAGTACATAGATCTAAATTTCCCTTATTTTTTTGGTAAACACAGAAACGTGATCACATTGCGTCAGGAATTTTATTAAATATCCTTTAGATAATGGAACAAACAATATTTTGCCCTCTGATGGCATTAATTAATAATGATAATTATAGGCATTTCTATAGCGCCGTCTATCTAGAAATTCTATTCTGAGGCGCATTAATTATTACCCCAGCTTTAGCCTAGCTGCCGTTACAGCGCTCTATCATTTCAAGGAATTAATTCTTGCCAGGTACCAATTTACCTCACCTGGGTCGAGTGTGGAAAATGAAGATGAATGCCTTGCGAAAGGTCATTAGTGCCGTTTTGGGGATCGAACCATGACCTTTGAATTTCAAGTCAAGTGCTTAAACCACTCGACCACGACACTTTTCTCTACTCGTAAGAGTAACAGCCTTGTTTGCCGTAAGTACTAATTTTTTGACTATCATTTGATCTAAGGTTAAATCAAGCTAGTGAAGTACCCGCGATCGTATATTTGATGCATAGGAAATATTCAAATTGACATGCTGCATACTTTTTCTACCGCATTAATCCATAACCCCTAGCACCAACATTTGTATTGCAAATTACTTATATATGCAGTACATTTATAAATGTATTAATGAAATACAAATTTATGATATATTTTTGTTAACTGAAAGAGTTCTGAGGGAAAAACAGACCAACCAGATCATCATTTGCCTGTGCCTGACGTTACTCTGTCTCTACGTATCGTTCATTGTCATGATATCACTGGGCAGCGCCAAACTTCAATACCAAGTTCCATGCGGGTGCATTGCGGCGTTCGTTCACTTCTTCGTTCTGTCTTCGATCACGTGGATGGGTGTGGAGGGATACACCACTTATCTCATCATTGTCAAGATGTTTGATACCAGCAATAAACGATTCATGGTCAAAGCTGGTGCCGTTGCTTGGGGTAGGACAATTTCAAAATTGATATCAGTAGTATCGTAATTGATCATTACAAAATAATACGTTTTTTAAATAAATAAAGAAGTTTCATAATTTCAAATGATTTATATAATTAGTATGAAATGAACCATGAAATTAAATTGCAAGCATTTAAAAGAATTGTAATCAAAGAGTGCAATATGTAAGATTACTTCTTCGTGAAATGCTTTTATAACCATCTTTTTCGAAATATGCGACACTTCGGGGCAAACAAATGAATATCTGAGAAGGGAAGGGTAAATTTTGCCGACGCTATTGATACTTAATTTGCCATTAACATATATTTACAAAGTAACTACTTTAGTTGCATGGTTGCATCGTGGAAAGGACATTTTTGTTGTCTACTTGTTCAACACGGTTTTCAATTTGAATAAGACCTATACATCGAGTGATCCACAAATTGATCTAAGAAAAAACGCAAGAAGATCTATCTACTTCTTATCTAAATGCCTGCATGCCGCATGACCCCCATTGTCTTGTTATGGAAGCGATTGTACTATCAATCGCCATCTTCACCCCTTCCATTCACTTTGCTTAAACCACACAAGAGCAATTGTGAACTGACATTTTCTCTTATTCTCCTATAAGGGAAAGGATTTAAAACTATTAATTGACGGGTGAAAATATAATTAATCATAATTGTCTTCCTTTTTTTAATTCAAGGTATCCCTGCAATGATCGTCATTGTAACTGGTGGCATTGCCCGGGACAAATACGCGCACGAAGATCTGTGAGTAGTCTACGAACCCCTCGAAATCATAACCATCAAACCGAAATATTTGTCACAATGTTTTGTGGTATTTTAAAAACAGAGGGTAGGGCCTTTACGTGACAAGGTAACAGTAAACAAAAATAGAGCCATATCAAGGCAACATGTCGGAGCATAGTGCAAGTCAATTTCTTTAAATTTACACGCCAACTTATTGAAGCAAAGTTAATTTTCATACAGCTTTTCATCTCTTTTTATAGAAATGTGGCAGGTTCATTTTGAAAATGATTTTCATTTTTCTTTCTACATATATTTTTTTTTCACAAGTTATTCAATTTTACTTCTAATGGATCTTTAGATGTTTTCTACAATTGTTGGCTCAAATCGGTGGTCTCCTTATTCCCATGACAATCATCATCCTGTTCAACGTCGTCATCTTTGCCCTGGTCGTTCGTGAACTGATGAAGTCCTCTAATATAGAATACAGAGAAAACATCGAACGTGTTCAAAATGCAATCTGTATCCTCCTTCTGCTTGGTCTCACATATATCACTGGATACTTTCTGATGATCCAAGAATTTAGTCAGGTGCAGTAACAACAAAAAAAAGAAGCAACATCCATAAGAGAAACCTAACATAATTCCATTTTTCTACTGTAAAACTTGTGATATTGTATAGGATACTGTGACCAGAAACGTAAGAAATGTCATAAAATGTAATATACATGTATATCATATACGAATGAGTTAATAATATAATTACCTATGCCCATTGTATATTTGATGTTTTTGTGTGTATTTTGTAACTCAGAAATGAATAGGGGACTGGTTGAAGGGCATCTAAAAACTTTTAGATGTAAGCTTTGATACGTCACATTGGTAAGAAACATAAATCGGAACAAATCAATTTTTCACATACTTAAACAATTACAAAACTTGGTAAGTATTACTAATCTAGTTGTTAACTGCATATGTGCCCGAGGTATTGTGTTTGAACAGGGAACTGTTTGAGTATACATACGTAATGAAACTTATGGTTCAACCCCCACATTTTTGTAATAATTATCTTTATTGTGTTATCCCAGGTGGTTGAGCCCATCTTCTTTGTAATGCTCTCATCTCAAGGACTCTTCATCTTTCTGCTCTACTGTGTTCGTAAACCAGTGATTCGTAAGCAGTTAGGACTGACCTGTCTAGATAGAGCCCAAAGACAAGACGCTATAACATCGACTACAGCAGCAACTACTTTGAGCACGCAGCCGCAGAATAGCGTCACGACATTCGTGTAATGCTTTGAGTGGAAGTACTTACCTTTATAATGATGTTTTCCTAAGTCTTCTCATTTCAATTAGGCTTTTATATTTTGAATCTTACTAACTGTGAATTATTTTTGTTATGGAATATAAAACACAGTGCACTTGGAAAGAAGATAGATTAAAAGAAATTCTCCAAATATTCTCACCATGTACAAAGGTATGATTACATGTGTAACTTGCTTTAGTTACCATTTTTGACTCAATATATATATCCAGCTGTTCAATTCCCTTTTATAATTTGCTATTGGGAAGAAGAAAAAAAACTTCCATGAATATAACACAATTTGTGAATCTTACGTTTGGATAACAAGATGACCAACGTGAAAATATTTCATGATTGAGCGATAAAACAATTTCACTGTCAATGGATGTATATAACTACACCCTAAACGTATCAACAATGAACATATGATTTATCCAAAAATGTTCCAGGGCGAACTTTTCAAAGAGAGCATTACCCCTCATAACCACATAGAGACGAACTTTGTAACGTGTAATGTGCTATATATAAAAATAGAATTTTATTATAAATGGATATACAAATTATTAAAAAAAAAAAAAATTATGTTTGATGCACTGCTTATTATTAGTTTTTTTGTAATGGATGTAAGATTATCAAAAAATTTCAAAATATGAAGAAGAAACAAACCATTTTGCACAGTATAATCATAAGGTATTGAAAATGTGATAAATGGAGTACAGATGCATTTACGTTATGGAACTGTCATTGTTTATTTGAATGTTGAACTTACTTGGAAACCATTGGAAACCATTGCATTATACCATTGCATATTATACATTCAGCTTAGCGTTTTATATTACAACAATTATCCTGTTCACCACTCCCCACTGGAACGACCTCCCTTAGAAGATTAACATTAGCAGATCGTATTGCAGGCTGTGTTCAGGGCCGTAACATTTCTTCTTTTCAGTTATTTTTCTTTTTTGTTTGTAGGTATTTCGAGGATAGTTGTCCTCGAAGGCGCAACCTTATTTAAACGATAAGGTTTTACTTGCCTTTGTCCTTCATATCTAAACTTGTTTCTCAAAAGTGTCCATGATGGTAAATTAATTAATTTACTTGTAATGAAGAAAATGCTGAGTTCTGCGAAAGGCTGGGGAAAATAACTTTGTGAACTTTTTAATTCTTTTGGTTTAACTAATATAATTTATTGATACGGTTGTATATACATGTAAACTTTATACAGATGAAATAAACAGATTATTAATGATGTAGAGTGAAGAAGGTGAACCCAAAAAAATCAAAGTACAGAGTAAAGTAAATAAGTAAGAATTCAGTATAAAGTTTTCAACAAGTGATTAAGACCTTTCTAAAGTAAAAGTCTGTTATATCTAATGAATTCCATTTTTCCTTTGAAAAAACATAGCTTTGCTAAAAAAACACACACACACCGTTCTGCATTTCGGCAAGTGATAATCATTTTATTGTATAGTATTGTATGCAAGTAAACTGTTATTATTCACGTCTTCAAGCCAAAAGGTATTTTATTTGTAAAAAAATTTGATATAACTGTAATGGATAATGGTCAGTTATCTTAAGAATGTGATTTTGGAGAAATAAAATATCCGTTAGTGCTCTAAATTAAGTATTACACTTTATTCCCGAAACTTATTTCTAGAGCAGTATATTAATCATAGTCTCTGTCAAGACATCAGAAGGTTCAACATCGAAAAAGAAAAAAAAATCATTGTAAAAATGACCTTGATAAATTGTTAATTTATATGTTAATGTTTATACTATGTACCCTTTCTCCTCCCCTCTCTCTCTGTCTTATCAATTATCCTTTATTCTTTCTTCTTCCTTTATTTACTATGGTGCCATCAATATGCATATGTCTATCAGTTCAGCTTTTATGTCATTTAATATTTAAATCGATGCGCTAGGAACCTAGCTTGCTTTGGACCTGTAACATTTCTCTCATTTGTCTTTCATATATTTGAATATACATATACGTAAATACTTTTTGATGTATTCAATATTGAATTGTAATGTTATTGTTTTTCTACTTTTGTAAAATTTGTAATACTTTTTTTGTATACAAACTTGTGTTTTCTTGTTGAATGTCTATGTCTATGACTTTATTGAAATTGATTTGTGTACCTTGCAAGAATCTTCAACTCCAGCTGATTCTGTAAGTGATCATGGTCAAATAGAATGATATTACACACTAGGGCCCCGCCTAGAGTTGATATCAATCGTAACTTATTTGCGATTGGTTATTAATCGCAACTATGTAAATAAGAGGTAGGAGACTTCCAACTTGCGATTGACTGGAGGATTTACAATTGATTCGGATCAATCGCAACTCTTTGTATTTAAAGACGGGCCAATATGCATATGGCAATTTTGTGTCAATTACATACTCCCAGATAGCATGGCTAAATTGTGTTCATGTTTTGATAGTACTGTAGAAGCGTATGTTGTACCTTTGATAATTTATCTGTATGTGTTTAGTTCTTTGTCAATGCAACATTCTGCTATTGGTTTATCTGAAGCATGGATTAACGATCAATCTCCTTTACTTTTGTATAATCTTGAAAATTATGACTTTGTTAATAATAATAGAAAGAACAAGCATAGAGAAGGTGTTGATATTTTTATTTAGACTGACATCAGTTACAAACAACGACCCGATTTAGATTTGAACACGCGTTTTATTGAAAGTATATTTATTGAAATTCAAAGCTGAATCTCTTCTATATTACTTGTTGTCATTTAAAGACCTCCTATTGACCAAACAGAGGATTTTTGATTTAACCTCTTACTGATGTTTGTGAGATAAATATATAAATAAATAGTAAATAAAGAGAAAAGTATTTTTGTTTATTCATCTTTATTCATGAAAACATTAAACATAATAATAAAGATGTGACATAAAATCCAGGACAGAGATTTAAATCGCATTGGATGCATCTCATGTAGGGTTTCTATGATAATACACAATAAAAGAAAAACGGAAAAGAAAACATTATAACAATATCATATTCATTACAAACTCCAAAATAAACCGTATTTAAATTACATGTATTCATATATGGCAGCAATTGATAAAGAAAGAGAGCAAATAAATAAGAGCAAGAAAGGTACATATAAAGAGGGAGAGAGAGAGAGAGAGAGAGAATAAAATAGACAGAGGAGAAAGAAAAAAAAAGAGATTAAGGGGAAATCAGAAATCCCGGTATAGAAATAATCATGCCTACCAACTAAAAATAAATTAGTACTCCTCCAGGCATATATGATGGCTGATTTTAATATATATATATTGCATGTTGTCAAGGTTCACATTGTAATAGAATATTTAGAAATATTAATGCTTTACTCAATGTTTCCTCTCATAAAATACCCCACTCGTGTTACTAAACAATCTGCCTTTGAACTTGATAGTATCATAACCAATGATACTTGCTCGATCCGATCGGGAATAATTATTAAACATTTCTGATCATTTTCCTATAGATTTGTTTTTTGAGTGTATAAAATGCATATAGCAATTCCTACGCAATACAGAAAAGATTTGTAAAAAATAATTCGTCATAGAGTAACGAATATTATAATTCTTGCTAACAAACAATACTATTCAAATAGGTTGCGTGACTATGAGTGTAGTATAAGAAAACAAGGGATGTTATCAATCATGCATTAGGGGGACAATATAAGAGATTTGTTTATGTAAAAAATTCATGTCTGATAATGAATCAATAAATGATGATAAAATCATTTGTGAAACAATGAGTGAATATTTTGTTAATTTCGAGTATAATTTTAATCCTTCATTTGATTGGTAATATGTATTATACCAGTCATATACAGAATAATGAACAGACTGCATTTTTCAGACCCATCACTTCCATTTTGTAGATTGATTTAAACCCATGACTAGTGCTAGTTTTGACGTAATCAATGTTAAAGTGGTCGAACGTGTATTACAGTTGATATAAATACCTTTATGTGCATTATTTAACCAATATCTGCAACAAGGAATATTTCCTGATCGAATTAAAATAGCTAGAGTTACTCCTATCATTAAAAGTGGTGTTCCTGAGATTATGTCAATAGTATTGCCCTATGTTATTGTACCAAATTTGTTTACAGTACATGTATTCTATTTGTTTAATGTCACAATGTATAGTTCTATGTACGAGCTTCTACGGCCTAACGGTCAGATAAAAACGCCGGGAGAATTGGGAGCAGCCAACTCACGGCGCCCGTACGGCTTAAAAAACTGTCCCGGCGCCCGTACGAACTTTACGGCAACCGGCCGGATAGCGGCCGAAAATTTCCAAAATGTCTGTTTTTACTCGCCGTACGGGCCATGGAGTGTATATGTGAAAGCCCATCATGCTCTGTGCACACAAGAGCTAACATATCCCGTATCTCGTATCTGTGCAGCCGGCACCACTGTGCATTGTATTAAAGGTACAATGTCCCATTTGCAGCCAATATCAAATTCTGTAGAACGTTGCAGGAATTATGAATATGTTACGTATGTCGTATCTGTGAAATTTAAACGTTAGCAGTGTCCTATTATTCAAATTATACAAGGAAACCCGTTCACTTTCTAGACTTGACTGTCAGACACTATTGAGTGACTGATTGACTTTTTTTCTTGGGCAATAACATACATAAAATGAGCTGTAAAAGGTACATGAGCATAATGTCTACATCAAGTACCCACTTTTTGTAATGGCCAAAATTAAACTGATTGAATCTTAGCGCAGCACAAAATGTACGACCATGCAGTACAAGGGTCTGAAAATCAGACTATTACTAATTGGATTGCATCCACTAAAGTCGATCCGACAACGAACGGTCATTATTTTCCCACTAAAAGAAATTTTCAAGCCCTTACGTTTTGAGGGAAGTTCTAAATAAGTATTATATTTCAAATGCGTTGGAATTTAAACTTTTGATTCTTTTGCCTGCAAATGGGACATAGTACCTTCAGGTGCGT